AAATTTTTGGGGGTTTTTTTTTTTTTTTTTTTTTTACTTCCTTGAAGGCAATGTTTCTTTACTGAGGTGCTGTAGTACCCCAAAATGCTGTGAGATCCTTTAAGGAGTGCCATGGCTAAGGCACTGCTGCCACTACCAGGTGGAACTTCCCTGTGCATGTTGCTCAGAGCTGTGGCAGGAGCATTTGCTCCTCCTGCAGCTGCTTTACAATCTGGCTCTACCTGATTGAGAACTACTGAGATAAGGCGAGGAAGTATGATATGACACTGGCTCTCAACCAAGGTGCTGCCAAATTCAGAAAGTTATGGAGGTCTGCCTTGTAGCTGAAAAGACTGACAATCACTGTTTTAAAGGAACAACACATAGAAAGCATCTATCTGGAAAGAACATACTAAGCTTGTAGAGACCCTTGTAATGCCACTAAGGCAAACAAACATCAATTTACATTTTTGATAGGCTGCTGATGCTAGGCTACCCAGATGAAAAATCTGGGGCAACAAAATCTTTCCTTTTACCCTTTTCTTTAATGTAACCACACAAAAAAAGAAGAAAGAAAGAAAAATAAAAATGGCTTCAAGACCCTCTGCTCATTAAGTGTTGACCTTACTGCACTTAAGTGCATATAAAGGAGTCATGCTTTGTAACAGATGAATTAATTTGCTTCTTCAGACCCTTTTGGGACTACACAGACTTTGTTTATCTTTGCCTTATTCTTAAGATTTTTGAATTACTACCTGAGTAAATCAGTTTTGGGGGTTTTTTTGTTCATTTGTTTTTTCCAGATTCCCATTTCCTTTTCAGGTTTATGGTATCTTCTTCCTTAGCAACAGTGTCTATTCAAAATCATGTAACTTTTAACTCCTGGGCAATAAAAAGCAAAATGTTTAGAAGAAGTGAACTACTGACAATTAGTTTCCATTGGGGCGCAATGCAGTCCAGCCCTGGAAGTGACTGGGGCTTAAATTTCCTCTTTCTCCTGTAGTCACAGTGGCTGCTCTGCAGTGTACTATTATCACACTCTACCTTGTGATTCTGCATGAAATAATTTTGGGTTCCTACAACTACAAATCCTTGCTTAAGGTTATAGTACTTGATTCTCAGGGGGAGAGGAACAACTTGAAGGAGTGTAGAGAAATGAACTGGGTATCTGACTACACTGAAACCACAAGTATGACTACATCTTGTGTAGGTGTACCTGCACTACCTTAAATTTAGTTACATTTGGCATGTCAAGGTGCTCTTAAGTTCACAGGTCATTTGATCAATTGATGTATCTCCAGTAAAACCAAAGAAGTGATTCTCCTGCTTTACTCAACATTGGTGTGGCCACAGCGGGAGTATTGTGTCCAGTTCTGGGTGCCGCACTTCAACAAGGATGTACTAAAGCTTGAGAGGGTCCAAAGAAGGGCCACCCATAAGATCAGAGACTTGCATGGCAAGCCATATGAGGAGAGGCTGAGGGATCTTGGACTCTTCAGCCTAAAGAAAAGAAGGCTGAGAGGGGACTTGATTGCGGTTTACCACTATATCAGAGACATACATCAGGAGCTCGGTGAACAACTGTTCACCAGGGTGCCCTGGGGGGAAACTAGAAACAACGGCCACCAACTCCTGGAAGATAGTTTCAGGCTGAACATTAGGAAAAACTTCTTCACAACTAGGGTGTCCAGACTATGGAACAAGCTCCCCCCAGAGGTGGTGCAATCACCTACCCTAGAGGGCTTCAAGAGAAGACTGGACGGTCACCTGGCTGGGGTCACCTGACCCCAGATGTCTTTCCTGATCATGCAGGGGGCTGGACCCGATGATCCTTTGGGGTCTCTTCTAGCCCTATGATTCTATGATCTCAAGTATATTATCAATAAGTGACTGTAACTTGCACTAGGTAGTGATGGCTGTGCATCAATAGCTGATATACTTTGAGAGCAAGCTCCCAGTGTCACACACTGCTCTGTAGGTTTTGAGTTCCAAACCTGCCTTTTTTCAAAAGGGTATTACATACATACCCATAATCCTTATTCATGCAAAATAGTTTCATCCCAGAAACCAGGAGGTGATTAGATATCAATAGGACACTAACAGTTTCACCTCCTGTGTAATAGACACAGGGCATGTCTACAGAAGACACCATAGTGATGAGCTACAAAGACCTAGCTCATTGCTACTGCGATATAGTGTTGACAGGCACAAACTGTGATGCAGCACAAACTGTGCAGTAGTACTGCACTACTGCACAGTAGTTAGTTGCTACTGCACAGTACTTGGAAATGACCCATGCACCACCAGGACTGCGCAGTAATGGCAATTACTGTGTAGTTGTATAGTACTTGCTAAAACAAGTACTAAATGACTAAGCAGTAACAACTGTGCAATCAGGGGCATGTGTAGATGTGCCCACTATGTATTTTGTGGCAGATGAAGTAAAGAATGTAAATGCACTTGAAGACAGCATTCAAATTGTTCTGGAAAATGAGAGGGCATTATAGTGGTGGTGAGGATGACTTAATTCAGCTCTTAGAAAGAGAAAACACATTTTATGAGTATCTGGTGGCCATTGAAACCAACTTAGTGTAAATTTATGATCCAGCAGCTACAGCCTGGGGAGGTTTTTTTTTTTATTCAGGC